AAACTACCAGTTCTTCACTCTTCCACCTCGTTCCTTCTGCGTGAACGAGTTCTTTATCATCATGAAATTAATACAATTCTAACTATTTTATTACTGAACAACAATTTGGTTGAAAAGGATTGTTAATACGTCTTGTACATCTTTTATTCTATGTAATTATTGCGAGCGAATTTTACTTTGTAATATTGTACACCGAAGAAGGCCTGATGTCAAGGTAGAAACGTTTATAAACAATTTTAAACGAATATATAATAATCTTTGCACGAAGAACTTGCATTGTGGCTCTTTACGCTCCTATTGATTTTATTTGATTTTGTCAATCACAGAGTCTTATACAGGGTGTCTGATAATTGCTGAATCACCTCTTGGGTGTAGGTAGAGCGGGTTAAATCGAATAGAAAAGTCTTCCATCGTTTTGCGATTTTCGCAATAATTAATGAGAAATTAATTAAAGAAGATCGGCCAAGTTTAGCTGTGTAAAGCTTAGGCAATTTTTGTATTATCAATAAATTGATTTTTTGTAAGATATGTCAGCTAATCAGCCGGATTTGAGGATGGGCGGACAGGGCGACCGCCCAGAGGCCCCCAAATTGGGGACTCTCACAAACAAAACTTGATTAAAAAGAAAATTTGATTAAAAAATCTATATATTTATATTTGATATATGTTTTGGAAATGTATCAAATATTTCTTAAATATATGCCATTGGTTTCCGGGTGATGACCGCGATATGCATTTTGGATGCCAGAGTTTCACAAACATTGTAGTTTGCATCATTAAATATATCTTAAATATTTGTTGTAATAATATTGAAATATATATTTTCAACTTTTTTAAATTCACGAATTTTTAAATGAGTTTTCAATGATTTTGATCTTTTACGAATTAAGGGTCCCCACTGATTCAGCCGCCCCGGAGCCCCCACTTCTTTAAATCCGGCTCTGCAGCTAATCATATTTTAATTTTTATGATGTAAAATTAATAATTTTTATATGAAATAAACTTTTTTAATAAGTATTTTCTGTGCATAATTTTAAAATGTATTATATATATATTTTTAATTTAGTGTGTGTGCTATTCAACAGACTCATTGAATATATCCAATAATTACATCTATTTGATTTTTTCTGTGGTTTCTATAACTTGATGATTAAATATATATTTTTTAGTTCTGTCTATATTTGCTTGTTACATAACAGTCATTTGATATGTGGGTTTTATCAATTATGTATATACTAAATAGTTAAACAAACAAATAATGAATACAATGAAAAAAAAGTAAATACATCAATAATTCTTTAAATACTTATTGTATTACCATATCCTGGTAAGAGTTGACAGTATATGATGAGAAATATACTGCACAGATGATGCTGCTATCCAAGATCTATAGAGAGAAGGTTACCTCAGTAAAACCGGTTGAGGGCGAGGGACGATGAAGTAAGGGGGGGAGCTAGAAACAGCTTGATGGCGAGAGCGATGAAGGAAGGGGGGAGCTAGAAACAGCTTGATGGCGAGGGGCGATGAAGGATGGGGAGAGCATGATGATCTCATCGACAAACAGTAGCTGTCTGAGATAGCTTCTGTTTGCCGATGAGATCATCATTGCCCCTCTTGCCGCTCGCCCCTCTCTGCATTTGCCCCTCTTGCCGATCGTCCCTCTGTGCATTTGCTCCTTTTGCCGCTCGTTCCTCTTTGCGCATCAGGTAACCTTCTCTCTATAGATCTTGGCTGCTACTTACATTTTTTATGGCGTCTGTGCGTTGACTGCTTTCCGCAACATGACCTACTACACCAGTTTTAAATTTGTGTTGTATATTTTAATTATTTCTGTTGTATAATTGCGACAAGAAACTCACAATCATATGATATTCATCAAAACATAACTAGAACATCGTGATTGCAAAATCTGCAACGGTCATCTATTACGCTGTACGTTTTCATTCATAATTACTGCATTATCTGGGTTTTCGTTGAAATTTCTGATTGATAAAATACTGTAAAATGAATATAATGTGTGTGATATGTAGGGAGAATTTCCGACCGTTCAATGATGTTTTTAATACACCATGTGGTCACACTTTCCATCATGACTGTTTATTGAAATGGCTTGAAAGGTAATTTTCTTAATTATCAAAGAAATTAATATTTTATTCTTGAAAGTTTATGCATTATTTATACACATGCAGAGTTTAATCTTATCAAACATTGTTTTTATAGGTCACAGACTTGTCCACAATGTCGTGAAAGAACAACAAAACATGAGATACACAGAATATATTTTAATTTTCCTAACAATGACAGCCTTGTGGAAGATGCCGCATATTTACAGAATAAACTTGATAACGTAACTTTTCACTCAACGTTAAAGGACAGTGCCATCAATAATCTTGTAGAGAGTAAACAAGAATTAGAAAAACAGACAAGTGATTTAAAACAAGAAGTAAAAAATGTTGAAAGGAAATTAAAGAGCAAGAAAGCTGCAATTCGTGCTCTTCAAAAACAGATCAAATTTTTTAAACAGCAATGTGCAGAGCTAGATGAATGTAGGAAAGATAATGATCAACTAAAGGAAAAAGTTGAGAATTTACAGAAGTATGCTTTTTTCTAAATTTATTTTGTTATAGATTTGAGAAATATGTATGTAATTTTTATGTTCATATTTAATCATGCAGTTATTTATTATTAATTTTTTACATCTTGAAGTTTGCAAGTTATATTGGAGGGTTCTGAAAGCGAAGTGGATGAAATAATAACCAGAACAACTGATTATACGAAGCTTGCAACATATATCAAAGTATTAAAAAGGTAAGTATTTATACACATATGCATTTGATATATATAGAATAATCATGATATAACTAGTACTATTTTAATTACTACATTTGTCAGAGAGAAAACAACTAATTGTATCAAGAGACAGCTGCTTCAATTAATTAATTTGATTAAGTCCGTAAAGCACAAATTAATGGAATCCTACAAGAAAAGTAAAGTTTTAGAAGAAGAACATATGAAACGAAAGTATGCAATGATTGAAATGTTTAAAATTAAATCATTATTTTTTTGAATCATCCTACATTATATCATTTTGATATTTTTAGGGAATTGGAAACACAATTAAATAGTTGTATAACTGAGAAGATATCGCTACAAAATCAACTTCTTGATAAACAAGCAAGTATGCATTGTGTCTGTAATAATGTATGTGTAGAGAATCAAAATTATTTGAGAAATAACTTTGAAAAGTATGAAAAGACTTTTGGCAAAAAGGATATAGTCGAAGCTATGAAGCTTCAGGACAGTCTAAATTCGAAAAAAGATAATAATTGCATTATTATTGAACCAGTAAGTAAACTATTAAAAAGCATTAAACTAGTTGAATAAAATATTTTGTCTTAAACATATCATTGTAATGTCTAAAATCAATATTTGTTGTCATAGGATAACAACGATAAAAAGTGGATAACACAAGAGAAAATCAATGTTAGTAAGGAGAACAAGCGTTTGAGACTTGAAAACATTCTAAAAAGGATAAGTTCAAATAATATTGAACTAGTAAGTAAACTATTGAATTAAACTAGTTGTATAAAATATTTTGTTTTATATATATCATTGTTACGTCTCAAATCAATATTTGTTGTTATAGGGTAGTAATGAAAATACTCCACAAAATATGAAATCGAAGGATTTTTTTTCATTGAGTGATTGTGGTAATGAAGCATTGAAAAGGACTTGTACCAATTTGAAAATATCTCCAATACTTGCGAAAAAGTCGAAATTTAGTCAACCAAATCAAGTAAGTTGTTTTACACTCTATATTATATGATATTGTTGGCACCTACAATTTTTTGATGTTTGTTTTAGAAAACTGTTTCAGAAAATTGCAATGGTATGACTTGATGGCTTTGGGGGACATTCAAGGGCTGATATATTTCCTATTCCAAAGCTTGGTCATTCTACTAGTTCAAGTTTGAGCTCGTACGTACAAAAAATTAAGATGGACAGGAAGATGAGAAAATTTAAACTTACAGGTGATAATCAGAAGCTTGGTGATATACTTCTGCTGGCTTGGCAAAACAGACAATAAAAATTATAATGTGTGTAAAGCTTAGGCAATTTTCGTATTATCAATAAATTGATTATTTGAAAAATATATGTCAGGTAACTTTATTTTAATTTTTATAATATAAAATTTAATAATTTTTATATGAAATTAGTTTTTTTAATAAATATTTTATATACATAATTATTAAAATGTATTATTTTTAATTCAGTGTGTGTGTGCTATTCAATAGGCACATTGAATATATCCAACAATTACATCTATTTGATTTTTTTCTGTAGTTTCTATAATAACTTGATGATTGAATATATATTTTTTAGTTCTGTCTATATTTGCTTATTACATAACAGTCATTTAATATGTGGGTCTTATCAATTATGTATATACAAAATCAGAGCTCGGCGTTAGTTGCACATTTCGGCTCGATTCTTGAGACGACGCTTCCCGCTCTCCCACTACCGCGCGGCCGCTGGTGGCCGAGCCGCCGATAGCCTTGACTCAGGAGCGTCTGTGTAACAAATAGGCTGATGATGAGCGGGCACCTTTCAGAAAATAAAATTTTCTTTGTTATAGAAATAATATTTATTTTCACTAATTATAATTAAATATCTTTATTACATTTATTATAATAATTTACCTAGACAATAATATATAATATTTAAAAAATAAAATAATTAAAATAAATCAAATTAATAAAAATTTAATTTTTTAATAAAAATTGTATGGTTTTTTAATTAGAAATCAATAGCTTTTTACATTATCCCTGAGATACTATTGTGAATGCGTTTTTTAAAAAGTGATTTCCTCAATAGGCCTATTTTACTAAAAAATAACAAAGATAATTTAATATCTATATAAATACGGCTTGGTAAAAAATTTTATATAGGGCTTAGATAATATTTTATATTTAAAATAACAAAAGAAAAACAAATAAAAAAATTAAATAAATTTAAAAACATAGAAATAGTTAATTTATAAAACATTTGTTGGATTTTTTTGGTCATTTGCATGATTTTATTAAGGACATCCACAGAAATAGAAGAACTAGTTTGCATCAAAGAGAATAATTATGCATTGCTCACAAAAAACGTCTTTCCGTTTTTATTAATTTTATTTTACAAAAAGAGTATTTGCATAAATATGTACCGAAGGCGTTTATTATCAATATTTGAATTACTTTTATGGTAAATTAAATTTGGTAATATAAATTTTAAAATATGAGGACAAAAAGAAATGTAATTGAATTAAAGTACTAAAATTAATTTACCATAAAAGTAATCAAGGTATTGAGAGATCTTTCCCTCCAGGCGGTTTTTCAAAATTCGTAAATTTTTGAAAAAATTTGGCGTGTTGGGGGTCACGGGGGCCACTATTTTTTGAAAAACCGTCGGAAGGGATTGAAAGATCTCTCGATACTCTGCCAATAAGGTCTTATGGTCCGATCTTCTATCTCGTATAGTTTCCGAGTTCTAAGCCCCGATAACAAAAAAAGAGCTATAACTCCGTAAATATTCGTTGTGCGCTATACGTTTATAGGACCAAAGTTGCTTGTCTCAACGAGACGCATCGACGTAGGTACTCAGTTTCAAACGAAAAATGGTGGCGATCCATAACATGCCAAATGTTTTCAAAAATTTACGAATTTCGAAAAACCGCCTGGATGGATTGAAAGATCTCTCTGTCAATAAGGTTCTATGGTCCGATCTTCTATCTCGTATAGTTTCCGAGTTCTAGGCCCCGATAACCAAATAATCGGCGACGAAAAAGAGCTATAACTCCGTAAATATTCGTTGTCCGCTATATGTTTATAAGACAACTATTTGTACGGGGTAAATTTTCAACCAAAGTGTGTTTCTCTGTAAACAAAGAAACGACAATTAAAGTTTACAATTACCGCTTCTCTATTCACACTACTTAATTTACTCTTAACTTTAATTATCCGTAAATTGCACGTGTGCTTTATTCCGTAATGACTATCTGTCTCTCTCCAACTGTGTGTCCGTGTCTATTTACAATCATCCTCGTGATCGTACATGTCGCTCTATCCAACGGTAATCAATCAGAAGACGCGCGGAGCATGAGAAGCGCGGCCAATTTGCATTAAAGAAAGTATACTTTCTTTACATGTTTATAGAACCAAAGTTGCTTTTCTCAACGAAACGCATCGACGTAGGTATTTGGTTTCAAACTTTTTCAAAAATTTACAAATTTAGAAAAACCGCCTGAAAGAATTGAAAGATCTCTCGATACCCTGCCAATAAGGTCCTATGGTCCGATCTTCTATCTCGTATAGTTTTCGAGTTCTAAGCCCCGATAACCAAATAATCGGCGACGAAAAAGAGCTATAACTCCGTAAATATTCGTTGTCCGCTATATGTTTATAGGACCAAAGTTGCTTTTCTCAACGAAACGCATCGATGTATGTACTCGATTTCAAACAAAAAATAGTGGCGACCCATAATTTCCAACAACCCAAATTTTTTCAAAAATTTACGAATTTCGAAAAACCACCTGGAGGGATTGAAAGATCTCTCGATACCCTGATTACTTTTATGATAAATTAATTTTAGTACTTTAATTCAATTACATTTCTTTTTGCTCTCATATTTTAAAATTTATATTACCAAATTTAATTTACCATAAAAGTAATTCGAATAATGATAATAAACGCCTTCGGTACATTTATGCAAATACTCTTTTTGTAAAATAAAATTAATAAAAACGGAAAGACGTTCTTTTGTGAGCAATGTATAATTATTCTTTTTGGTGCAAACTAGTTCTTCTATTTCTGTGGATGTTCTTAATAAAATCATGCAAATGACCAAAAAAATCCAACAAATGTTTTATAAATTAACTATTTCTATGTTTTTAAATTTATTTAATTTTTTTATTTGTTTTTCTTTTGTTATTTTAAATATAAAATATTATCTAAGCCCTATATAAAATTTTTTACCAAGCCGTATTTATATAGATATTAAATTATCTTTGTTATTTTTTAGTAAAATAGGCCTATTGAGGAAATCACTTTTTAAAAAACGCATTCACAATAGTATCTCAGGGATAATGTAAAAAGCTATTGATTTCTAATTAAAAAACCATACAATTTTTATTAAAAATTAAATTTTTTATTAATTTGATTTATTTTAATTATTTTTATTTTTAAATATTATATATTATTGTCTAGGTAAATTATTATAATAAATGTAATAAAGATATTTAATTATAATTAGTGAAAATAAATATTATTTCTATAACAAAGAAAATTTTAATTTTCTGAAAGGTGCCCGCTCATCATCAGCCTATTTGTTACACAGACGCTCCTGAGTCAAGGCTATCGGCGGCTCGGCCGCCAGCGGCCGCGCGGTAGTGGGAGAGCGGGAAGCGTCGTCTCAAGAATCGAGTCGAAATGTGCAACTATATATATATATAACGCCTAGCTCTATACTAAATAATTAAACTAACAAATAATGAATACAATAAAAAAAAAAAAATATATCAATAATTTTTTAAATACTTATTGTATTACCATATCCTGATAAGAGTTGACAGTACATGATGATGAGAAATATACTGCACAGATGATGCTGCTATCTACATTTTTTATGGCGTCTGTACGTTGACTGCTTTCCGCAACATAACCTGCTACACCAGTTTTAAATTTGTGTTGTTGTATATTTTAATTATTTCTGTTTTATAATTGCGACAAGAAACTCACAATCATATGATATTCACCAAAACATAACTAGAACATCGTGATTGCGAAATCTGCAACGGTAGTCTATTACGCTGTACATTTTCATTCATAATTACTGCATTATCTGGGTTTTCGCTGAAATTTCTGATTGATAAAATACTGTAAAATGAATATAGTGTGTGTGATATGTAGTGATTTACTGGTACCGTCCGATGATATTTTTAATACACCATGTGGTCACATTTTCCACTTTACATGCTTATTACAATGGCTTGAAAGGTAATTTTCTTAATTATTAAAGAAATTAATATTCTATTTTTGAAAGTTCATGCATTATTTATACACATGCAGAGTTTAATCTTATCAAACATTGTTTTTATAGGTCACAGACTTGTCCACAATGTCGTGAAAGAACAACAAAACATAAGATACATAGAATATATTTTAATTTTCCCAACAATGACAGTTTTGTGGAAGATGCCACATCTTTACAGAATAAACTTGATAACGTAACTTTTCAATTAAAGTTGAAGGACAATGTAATCAATAATCTTACAGAGAATAAACAAGAATTAGAAAAACAGACAAGTGGTTTAAGACAAGAAGTAAAAAATGTTGAAAGGGAATTAAAGAGCAAGGATGCTGCAATTCGTGCTCTTCAAACACAGATCAAATTTTTTAAACAGCAATGTGCAGAGCTAGATGAATGTAGGAAAGATTATGAACAACTAAAGGAAAAAGTTGAGAATTTACAGAAGTATGCTTTTTTCTAAATATATTTTGTTATAGATTTGAGAAATATGTATGTAATTTTTATGTTCATATTTAATCATGCAGTTATTTATTATTAATTTTATACATCTTATAGTTTGCAAGTTATATTGGAGGGATCTGAAAGCGAAGTGGATGAAATAATAGCCAGAACACCTGATCATACCAAGCTTGTAACATATATTGGAGTATTAAAAAGGTATATATTCATATACATTACATGTATTTGATATACATGGAATAATCATGATATAATTAGTACAATTATTTTAATTACTACATTTACCAGAGAGACAACAGTTAATTTTAACAAGAGGAGGAAGCTTGAATTAAGGATTAGGTCCTTAGAGCAAAAATTAATGGAATCTAATAGGAAGTGCAAAGTTTTAGAAGAAGAACATATGAAACAAAAGTATGCAATGATTGAGATGTTTAAAACTAAATCATTGTTTATTAAATTATTCTATATTATATCATTTTGATATTTTTAGGGAATTGGAAACACAATTAAATATCTGCATAACTGAGAAGATATCGCTACAAAATCAACTTCTTGATAAACAAGCAAATATGCATTGTGTTTGTAATAATATATGTGTAGAGAATCAAAATTATTTGAGAAGTAACTTTGAAAAGTATGGAAAGACTTTTGGCAAAGAGGATATAGTTAAAGCTATAAAGCTTCAGGACAGTCTAAATTCGAAAAAAGATAATAATTGCATTATTATTGAACCAGTAAGTAAACTATTAAAAAGCATTAAACTAGTTAAAATAAAATATTTTGTCTTAAACATATTATTGTGTGTGTGTGTAACGTCTGAAATCAATATTTGTTGTTATAGGATAATAATGATAAAAAATCAAGACAAGAGGACGAGAGTAACGAGTGTTTGAGGCTAGGGGATAGTCTAAAAAGAATAAGTTCAGATCTTAAAAAAGATGATAATTGTATTATTATGAAACCCGTAAGTGAATTATTGATTTAAACTAGTTGAATAAAATATTTTGTCTTAAACATATATCATTGTCACGTCTGAAATTAATATTTGTTGTTATAGGGTAGTAATGAAAATACTCCACAAAATATGAAATCAAAGGGTTTTTTTTCATTGAGTGATTGTGGTAATGGAGCATTGAAAAGGACTTATACCAATTTAAAAATACCTCCAATACTTGCGAAAAAGTCGAAATTTAGTCAACCAAATCAAGTAAGTTGTTTTACACTCTACATTATATGATATTGTTGGTGCCTACAATTTTGATGTTTGTTTTAGAAAACTGTTTTAGAAAATTGCAATGGTATGACTTTTGATGGCTTTGGGGGACATTCAAGGGCTGATATATTTCCTATTCCAAAGCTTGGTCATTCTACTAGTTCGAGTTTGAGCTCGTACGCACAGAAAATTAAGATGGACAGGAAGATGAGAAAATCGAAACTTGATACAGGTGATAATCAGAAGCTTAGTGATATACTTCTGCCGGCTTGTCAAAACAGACAATAAAAATTATAATGTGTATAAAGCTTAAGCAATTTTTATATTATGAATAAATTGATTATTTGAAAAATATATGTCGGGTAACTGTATTTTAATTTTTATGATGTAAAATTTAATAATTTTTATATGAAATTTACTTTTTTAATAAATATTTTATATACATTGGTAATAAAATGTATTATTTTTAATTCAGTGTGTGTGCTATTCAATAGCCACTTTGAATATATCCAACAATTACATCATTTTGATTTTTTCTATTGTTTCCATTATAACTTAATGATTGAATATATATTCTTTGATCTATCTTTGCTTATTACATAACAATCATTTAATATGACAGGCTTATCAATTATGTATACATGTATGCTGACAGATGGTGCACGTAGTGTTGAAAGTTTTGATCTGCTTTATCTTAGATCGATATCATTGCTACGCGTGCCATCTTCCGGCCCATTATGATAATTATTAGTATGCAATTTTGGCTTAAAATGCAATGTGTTAACGGTCCGTAAGTAATTGCGTATTTTCCGTGTTTTCTACGTTAAAAGTGTATAACGAGTACGAATTTTTGTCAAGAATGTCGATCAAAGTGACGGGCGATTGTCGGAATGTATTGTTGTTGCCACGGGTGTTCGTGATTTATGAGTGACGATGCTATGTCGATCGTTTGGCGGGAGGATTGTAGATTTAAACAGGTTACGTTTCCAGAAAGTACAAATTTTGGTGCCATGGTCACGCGTAAATGATCCTTATATTTGGTCAAGAGCAACGACCGTTATATTTATTTTGCGATTTGTCACGAATGCAGTATGCTAGCGAGCGAGTACAGAAATTCTGATGTAGATATGATTTGATACGCCGTGTTACTTTTCATTAGACGTAGTTTGCCGAAAATTTAACTTGTCGAAGTTGAATCGGGTAAAACCATAGACATAGGAATAAGGAGACAGAGCATAAAATCTTACTTTAAGCGAGGGGAGTGAAGCCAGTTCCGCGGTGCGGGGAATAGCAGTCACGTGATATTTTGGTGCCACATTGGCATTAGTTGTAGCATAAATGTGGCACCAAATAACCATGTGACCGTAGTCCCCGCTCCCCAAAAGCGGCTTCACCCCCGCGGCTTACACTCCGTCTCCTTATTCCTATGTCTATGGGTAAAACACGATTGATCATTGTGTGCAGGTCTAAATTTGACAATGGCTGTGTGATTGTCGTTTGTCGCTCGTTATCGAGCGTTGCTCACTCCGAGTACGTATAATGGCTACAACACCATGAATGTATTGCAACAAGAAGTGTTTAATTTATATCATGTCACGGTAAGACAAATTTGTGACTTTCGTGTATAGTACGGATTGACTTTTGTTTGGTAGTCTGTATAATTAACAATAAGTACAGTTTCTCCAAATTCATCAATTATCCAATGGAGCTGATTCGAAGGAGAAGCTGAAGCAGGAGCAGATCCAAGAGCAGCTGATCCAAGTAGAATCTGCAGCAAGTGAAATAAATCGCAATATCCAATCTAGTGAGTACAATTATTTATTCATTATTTAAACATGTATACAATTGTATACGTACACAATATGAAATTTATATTTATTTAATTTGTATAACAAATCTATTAAATATTTATTAAACTTTTTAAATATATATTTACTTTGCAAGTTAATAAAACATGATAAATGTTATAATATGAGAAATAATCAAGTTTGGAATTTTGATTTTATTGCACATAATTGTTTTAATCAAACTAGAAATAAATATATGCAATAATTAAAATTGTATCAAATGCATACAATAATTTATATTAACTATGAGACATATATTTATGTTTTTAGGTACAGGGTTAGCAATGTAATTAGCTAGGATACAATAATTGGTAAGTGAATTCATTCATTATACTTGCATAACAACATAACACACTGATATCATTTACTACTTTCTTATTTGCCAATATTTACTACATGTACAATTACTAAAGATTACTTTTTGGTAATTTTTTATAAAAATTATAAGCCATATAATATTTAATTACTTAAATAATACTTAGTTGTTGCTCAATTTATAATTTATTGTTTAAATTGTGACAGAGAATTTAAATTACTTTTCTTTTGATGAAGTCAGCATAAATTATAAATTATTTTATTTGCTTTTATAAATTGTTTATTATTGGCAAAATAGAAATATATATTATTAGATTTAATATATTGTATTAGAGTTGTTTTGGTCAATTTTTATGACTTGGTGCATGTTGATTTTATTGTAAAGAGTGCAAATGTTTGCTAGAATCATTTTTATCCCTTTAACTTTCGCATTCGACGCTAACAGGTATCAGCGCTTTTCAGGTAAGATTGTATCCTATTTCTCAGAGTACCCGCAGTATTACGTCAAGTACAAGGTACTACCCGTCTTGCCTTTCACATACGGCGAAAGACCGTCGCTATATTTTCTCAAGCTTTCACTCTCAGAGCGATTTACAGTCGCTCGAGTTGCATCGCTTACAAGCGCTAACTGTTGCATGTTGAATCAAGTTACGTCAGAATGGGGTTAAAAAGCTTCTTTGAAAAAAGGGATAGAAATAGTTAGTGATGAGTAAAGTTAATAAAGTTAATAAAATATGATAAAAGTTAAAATATAAAGAATGATCAAGTTTGGAATTTTGATCAAACATGATAATATATTTTAATCATGGCTAATTTAACAGTAATGCAGCAGCATATTCATGTAATAATATATGTGTATGATGTAAACATTAATGAAATTTAATTTAATCCTAAAACTATGATAACAATTTTTAAAATAAAGTGCAGATGTAAAGTTAAAAAGTTAATTAAATTTAATAAATATGTGCAGAAATTTTTATTTTGGATTCTTTATGTAATTAAGAATTTTTATTATAGAAAGATATTGAAATATTGCCTAGAAAAATCAGAATCGAATATTTTATTAACTTTATTAAATTTTGAATTGGAATGTATGTGCAAATTCTGGCATTCTAGAGAGGATATGTACGAATTCTTGTAGAACAATGCTACCCGTTCCATCAATGTCCATTTCACGTAGTATCTGAAAGGGAAAACATATTTATTGAATAATCTATTGATCTATTGATCTATCGATAATCGTAAATTATTACATTATAATCGATGTCTGTTGCAATCCTGCAAAAAATAGGTTAGTTAAAAGGAATTTATAAGAATTCTATTACTGAAACTGAAAAAGATATAAAATTGTATTACAAAATTTATATTACATTTATGAATATTATTGCAAATTGAAAAGGTCTAATTCTAATATTTAAGGATAAAAATAATTTTGTTTTCTTCACTCAAAGAAAAAGAATAATAATTCAACGATTTTAAAAAAGCAGTTCCCAGTCTCGAAGACTGCAAGTACAATTTCACGGAATTAATTTCTCCTCATAGAAGACAGTTCCTTTCAATTCGCCTATTTTCTGCTGCGGAACCAACAACGACCGGAAATTTGCTGCAACAGAAAGCGGCCTCGGCTTTTGGCAAAAGGATTAATCGCTTCCCGATTTCATCCTTTGTAGCCGCGTCGAGGACGCACTGTAGGAATGTATACGGACCGTTCGCGCTATGTCCTCCGCGTGTTTCCGATCGATTCGAAACTGTCCGTTCTCGTCAGAGCCTGTCAATCTCTGTACTGTCTCGATCAGATCATCGAGACAGACTTGATTATTGCCGTCCAAATCTAAAAACAAAGGCAATCAACGCAACTACTGTTTATGAACAGCTAAAATAAGTATGCATATGAATGTGTGATGCTGATCAACAAATTTGGTATGCCATGAAAGATAGAATCAAGATGAAATTGGCAAATGGAAACAAACAATATATTGCAATTTGTGTAATGGAAAACACAATATTTTTTGGCACTTTTGGAATAAACACGGAATATTTTAAAATTACATTATTTCCGAAATTTTCGGAACGAAAAACCAAACATTACAATTCCATCAATATACAATTAGTGTTACATCATATGATTTATTTCTTCTTAAATTGCACGTGTCACGCTATGCTATATCAAAATAGGCGACGTTTATTGCAACGTTGAAAAGATAAATTTAAATTTTAAATAACAGAAACTATTTGGAACATATCTCTTGGACTCGATTAAAAATCGCGCAACTCTCTCTGTTGACACTTAGTTCTACATAACATTCCAATTTATCTGAATCGCAATCGTATCGGCAGATTGCTGTGAGTCTATTTTCACAGCAATTGACACGGCCCCGGTTAACGAAATCAACTGCCAGCCAGATTGCCATTGTGCGAGTGTTTGATTTGCTTCAATAAATTATGTCAAGTCAAATTAATTCAAAAATTAAGAAGCACGACAAATTTTTTAAATACTTCTCATCAATAATAATATTTCAGCATTATATTTTACATTATATTTTTCTATATTATGTTTTCGCGTGTTGATCGTAATTCATTGTCAGTGTAAAAATATGAGTCTTCGAATACTGCAGTCTAACTACAGTAAAACTGTCTTTGAATTTGCATAATTTGACTTGCGTTTTGGTGGAGGTGTTTACTGCATTTTGACAAAATATGTATATTTCCAAAAACTGTGTGACAGTAGGACATTATTTTTCAGCAAGCAACAGAAGAGTTTTGTAGTAGTATTTTTGGTAACTGAGGTATTGTTCGCGGGTATATGTGCAATGAGTGTGTAGGATGGCGGACGGTAAATATTTACTAGGACAAAAGTTAGAGTCCCGCGTGCACAAAAGCCTGTGGATGTAGATCCAATTGCGTCTACGAGCTTACCGAAAATTTCAAAAGCCCATGCAGCGCGAACGCCCTGAGGACAATTCACGGAGAACGCCGAGCAGAGATCGAGGATGTCCTCGAAGCTCAAATGTCCGTCTCGCTTTGACGAAAACACCCGGTATATAGAGTCGCGAAATGGATTGCACTGAAAATATCACGCGCTTTATATTTTGCGATCCCTTACCTTTTTTTCAAAAAGAAACGAATTGCGTAAATAAATAGAAACGATGAAATCATCCTTCTTTGTCATCGTCCATTTAAAAACCTTTGATTTTCTTTCTCTCTTTTCTGTGAGAGAAATATAGTAAAGAAACATTTTGCAATATTTAGAATATTCCAGAATTATTCACTTGAATTTTTTACAAGTCGATTTTAAATCAGTCTACAATTAAAATAATTTAAATTAAATTTCAATTAATAATGTTGATTAAGACTGACAACTTTGAAATAGCATGTACAATGTCTAAAGAAGACAATTTGTTTCATTCATTGTATCGCTCTTAATCATCGTTTCTTGTAAAGAAATTTTTAGCTTGTAGGAAAAAATGCTAGCAGCTTACCATCACTGCTTAAGAAGGATTTATTGCTGCGCGATGTGAACAATATTTAGAGCTAATGGAAATTCATTGTTATGTACTGTGATAATTCAGTACCGACACGATCTTTTATTAGAACTTTAAACGTTTTTCAAAATAATTTTAATACATTTGTTATTTGTACGGTGTTACTTAAATATTTAAAAAAATACTGAAATATATTTTATGTCAAAGTATTAAATAATATCAAATTTAAAACTTACACGAATTTGCGGAAGAATTGTGTCAATTTGCTGTAGAGAAAAACGATAATGAAGATCTTTTTGAAGAATGCTTGGTTCCAAATTGTTGAGCAATCTATAAATCCTGCAGATTGTAAATTAAATTAGAATAAACTTTATTATTGGCACATAAATCACAATATAGATATATATTTTTTATGAAAGATAGGTAATACAAAAATTACTAAAAAGTTCTGAAAACGGTTGTAGCTTTTTGAAAAAAAAAAAAACATTTGACGTAAAAGTTAATGAAATTCTCGATATTTGATATATGTAATTTTCGATGTATTTTTTCAATTGCTTGCTGACGTATTTTTCATTGATTTATTCGAGATTAAATTCTTGCACTCACTGACGAATTTCACTCTTGTTCAAATACGTCAGCTCGACGTATTCGTCGAGAGCCTCTTCCGAAATAGCGTTGGAATCCGAATTTCCCATGGTTACACTTTTGACTTATTTCATCTACATGCGATACAGCACCGCTGACCTAAGTGACAGTTATCGCATTAGCGATAACGCACGTTATCTTTTCAATATGCGACTATAAAAAAAGTCGATATCGGTATTATCAATTTTACACGGGTTTACTTAACTGTTTAACAACGATAGCGTTTATCTACATTGTAACATAAACTTAACAAATGTTATCACAATCACAAAATATCGATAGAACTTTACAACAGATTGATAAACGTTATTTATTCTGGAACTAAATTTAAAATAACAATTTAGTTATATTTTATATTTCTTAGATTTAATCTTAGCTAAATACGTTTTCGTTAGAAAATATTCGCGTAGGTGGATCTTTCAATCAAATTTTGCCACAACAAGATTATTTTCAAATTCGTCAGGGAATATTTTCCAGCGACGATGAGACAACCTCTATAAGAAAACACGCTCGCCATTTGTTGAACGTAGCCGCGCGTTGCACGTTAAGTGTATTAATCATTCCCGCTCGTTGGCCACTGAAATAATAATCCGCGGACGATCAATTTCGCGACGGCGTTTTAATTAGTTGTTTAACCAGCCGCCTGCATGGCTCCGAGTTTATTACCTCGTCTTGAGACAAATGCATATTCACGACGCGCGTAAATAAGGACGCAGACGGAGATTTATATCTATATATTCAAGGTACGCGTCCGTGCTCATCCGAGGAAGAGACCGCTTAGAATTAAGCGGCACGATGCCGCGCGCAAACGCTTAAACCGATTACACGTGGAACGCGCGGAATTTCGCGTGCGAGCTTTAATTAGATCGTCAGCGCGGCGGGTGAGCGCGATCGTTGATTGGAAAACGCACGGGGATCGCGCGATTTGCGCGCTCGTCGAGCGAGCGAAGCATTCGCGGTGGAGTGTGTATAAATGCGGCGCGAAGCCGATTTTCTCCGCGAGCCGTGAAATCGCGCCCACTATTAGAGCTCGATTAACATCGCGGATGATATCGAAGATGCGTGACTTAACTGAATTGCATATTATAGATGTCTAACTCCTGACGCAACTATCTTGAATAATCCAAGAATTATGTGCCTGTAGAATACTCACATACACTTATATAAATCCTATATATATATATCTTACATAAATCAAAATATTGAGATTGTGAGATTTTCAATCTCAGCTATTTATGCAATAATGGAAATAAATATTACTGGATAAGCATTATCGATAATAAGGAATATTCCGAAGTTACTTGTGCTCGTTTGCAATAGTTCTGCATAGAAAATTTTTAAGTATTGAGGAATGTCGGCCGCATTATCATACTAACACCATCGTAAAACAGCATTATTAATTGTCAAACACCAAATCAAATGACGATTAACTGTGGCCACATGCGTGACAATGTCATTCGCGGCATGATTTTCGGCGTACAGTGATACACTGATTGCACAGTATCGCGCCAAGTGCGGACCGAATATCGGGAGGACAATCGTTTCTCTTGCGCTATAAAACAATTAGCCGGCTCATCTGCTACGCGAATCATCGCGTTAATATGATCCACACGGAGTCAACGATTTCTCCCTCGCATCAAGCACAATACGTAATCCAGTGTATCGGTCACACGGATTTCGCCGCGAAAGTTGGTCGCTCGATCAGTGCATTCACGCCAGGACGCCGACGTCGGAATCACGTGCGTATCGCGTCGCCCATACGTAATCGGGCATTGCGTCGCGTCATATCACATTCACCCTCTAAGTATACTCGCTCTATCATTCATCTTGTCATTTTTATTAGACATCCCCTGCTATACGCTTGACAAGCAGGTTTTCCGCCGCGATAGTCTCAGAAACAGAAAAGTGTAGAGTGAAGAAAATGCATTTGCAGAAAAACTTCTCATATTTGCAATGTCTCCATTTGACTTTTTGATACTTGTATTTTACTTTTTGTAAAAAATTATTATTTTTTATTATAAGTATAGCAAGATAGAGAAAGAAATGTGAGAAAAAAATTAACAATTATGTAAAATTCAACAGCACGCACATTTTTAATTGGATTTTTAATTTTTATCTAAATGTTTCCATTTGCAAAATTAAAGAAAATATTGCGAAACAAGCATTTTAATCCACACAAGTGCGAAAAATACTAATGCAACAGATTTTCGACTAAATTTACTTAATTTTCCGCAGAATCGATCGTTAAGTAGAAAATATACATGTGCATTACGACAACCTAATACTAGGTGCGCAACTAAGTTTCCGGGTTTTTTTATCAATGCAAAATGGAAAATTTCAAGAGAAATACAAAAACGGTTTATTCAAAATATCGTCCCTCGCTAGCTACACATTTTGCCATCTCTCTGGCAATACATGAATACCGCGACGATAAAACGACGCGTCTTTGAATCGAAACCATTCATCCAACCAATTCTGCACTTCTTCGAAATTGGCCAAGTGTAGCCCAGCCAAGCCATGCGCCATCGACCGGAACAAGTGATAATCGGAAGGGGCCAGGTCTGGTGAATACAGCGGGTGCGGTAGCAGATCCCATTTCAGCGTTTTGATGGTGTCCTGGACGATGGAAGTGCGATGGCACGGAG